AATAAATCGGAGAAATATGGACGAAGTTGAGGTGGAGGCGGAGAAGAAGGGATAGGAGGAAGGGGAAGAGAAGAAGAAGAAAAAGAAAGGGTAGAAGGAGGAGGAGGAGAAGAAGAATGAAGAGGAGGAGGAGGAGGAGGAGGAGAAGAAATAGAAGAAAGAGGAGGAGGAGAAGAAAAAAGGAGGAGCAAAAGAAGGAAGAATGAGAGGATAAGATGGAGAAGAGGAGGAGGAATAAAAGAATGAAGCGAAGGCCAAAGGGAAAGAAGGAGGAGAAGTAAGGGGTGGAAAGAAATAAAAAGGCGAAAAATAATAACAATAAGAAAATAAAAAGATAAAAAAAAACTTAAAAGAGGAAAAAAATACGAATAACAGAAGACGAAAAATAATAACAATAAAAAATACAGAAAAAAAAAACCTTAAAGAGGAAAAAATACGAACAGAAATAAAAGAAAACAAAGAATAAAAACTAGAAGAAAAAGGAGAAGCCAAAGGCAACGAGGTCTCAGGTACACCGAGGTTTACGAGCGGCGCCCCCCCATCGCGAACCAGGTCACGCCCCGGTTTATGCGCCCCCGCCGCCCACTTTGACCTCCTTGGGCGCCCTCCCGCCCACTTAACACGGGATTCCATCAATGTCTTCTGGCGGTTAAGGGGTTTGGGATGGGTATGGGGAGGTCTGTGTATAAATGTGTGTATGTATTCATATATATATATATATATATATATATATATATATATATATATTATATATATAATATATATATATATATATATATATATATATATATATATATATATATATATATATATATATATATATATATATATATATATGTGTTATGTATGTATGTATATTATGTATCTATCTATATATCTTCTATCTATCTATCTATCTATCTATCTATCTATCTATCTATCTATATATCTATCTATCTATCTATCTATCTATCTATCTATCTATCTATCTATCTATATCTATCTATCTATATTATTATATATATATATATATATCTATATATATATATATATATATATATATATATATATATATATATATATATATATATATTATATATATATATATATATACTCTCTCTCTCTCTGGTGTGTGATGAAGCAACGACCTGGTTTAATACTTATTCAGTACACAGGGATTAAAAGTTATATTGATTCACTTGTCTAGCATCATATATTCGGGCAAAACAGTGTATAATGCCAGCACTCAACATACATGCGTGTAGGATGAAGCAACGATCTGGTCTAACGAAAAGACTTTAAACAACCTACTTATTACTTTGAATTATGAACATTTAAACAAATCAACCGTTTATAAATGATTATGATAATATTCTCTATTTGTTATAACACCAAATTTTGCTATATTAACATACCTTAAAAAGAAAAGAAAAGTATATAATGTATATAAACCTTTTCAGCATATACGTATCTTTTAAATGTCGAACCAATAACGATCTCGACACATATAAATAAATCACTTCTTCCCGGACGTCCCAGTGGGTGCCATGACTGAAGCAGAGAGGCCGACAGTGCCATCGACAGCCTGGTGTGAATATCCAAGTGAAAGATTTAAAAGCCAGAAGGAAGGGACTCCCTCTCCCTCTCCCCCACCTCTCTCTCTCTCTCTCTCTCTCTCTCTCTCTCTCTCTCTCTCTCTCTCTCTCTCTCTCTCTCTCTCTCTCTCTCTCACTCTCTCTCTCTCTCTCTCTCTCTTCTCTCTCTCTCTCTCTCTCTTCTCTCTCTCTCTCTTCCTCTTCCCTCCTCCCTCCTCCCTCCTCTCTCTCCTCTCTCTCTCTCTCTCTCTCTCTCTCTCTCTCTCTCTCTCTCTCTCTCTCTCTCTCTCTCTCTCTCTCTCTCATCTGTGAGGCTTTTCAAGATGGCTGACATTCTGACGCCATACATTACGAAGGACACGCGGCTGGATGTGGTCTGAGAAGGGAAGGGGGGGGGGTTGGTAAGGCTTTCGTTTTATTCGTTTTATCGTTCGTGTTCTGGTTCGTCTCAAATCGTGTCATTATTAAGGGTTTTAGGAGTAATCGTATTATGATTATCTTTGGCATTTACTTCGGCTGTCTCCCGGGATTTTTTCGGTAATGACTCGTTCAAAGTAATCTGGTGGAAGTGTTATTTATTAGATGTATAAATACAATTTTGTGTGTGTCGAATGCTAATGATTATATTCATGAATACATGCATACATATATAGATAGATTGATAAATATATAGACAGATGAAAGAGAGAGAGAGAGAGAAAAAATATATAAATACGTAATGTTGATATGTGTGTGTGTGTGTATGTGTGTGTGTGTGCGTGTGTGCGTGTGTGGAAAGATTGGTAGGTACGTAGATAGATGGATACACACATAAACATTGAGTAGGAATACTCATTATACACAAACTATGTTTATTAATAGATGAGAGATTGGTCTCGAAATCCTGCTTACACCATCTTCGAATCCGTAGACATAAGGGAGAAGAAGTAAGTTCGGAGGAAGAGGAGGAGAAAACAACAATATAATGGTAAGTCGGTGATGACAAGTAGACGGATCAAAGACAGGTCAGGTCAAAGGGTCAAGGGGTGGTCTGTGAGAGGGTCATGAGGGGGTGACTTGAGGACGTGTGAAGCGAGGAGTCTATACATGTGTGTGTGTGTGTGTGCGTATTTGTGTGTGAGTGTAACGTGTGTGTGTGTGTGTTGTGTGTGTGTGTGTGTGTGTGTGTGTGTGTGGTGTGTGTGTGTGTGTGTTGGTGTGTGTGGTGTGTAACGTGTGTGTTCTGTGTCCTTATGATACGTTACATACATATCTATACGTACATGCACATATACCCACACATATACTTATATACTCGCGCATGTTTCTATACGTCTATGTGTAAATATGTGTCTGTACGCATGTATGTATATGTGAAGTACCCAGTATCAGTACAAAGACCTTTTTATCATGTAAAGACCCTTCTCACCAAATCAATATTCAAGACTTTTTATCAT